AATTTACAAATAATTTCGAATATTTACAAATAATTTCGAATATTTACAAATTATTTCGAATAATTTAGAATATTTACAAATTATTTCGAATAATTCGTAGATAGCTCAGACTATATATATCTATTGATAATATTAGTTGAGTGATATAGTGTGATCGTCTTTTTGATATGGTAAAAAGCGAGCAATTTTGTTTATATTTTGAACATGCTAAAGTTTTCGATCGTGAAATATATTTCGAACTCACCCTAAACAGGAAACCTTAAAGGCTCTCAACACAAACCCGGGTGTAGACCAGATTTTGGAAAATATTTTTTGTATAATAAAAAAAAAATTAGGAAATCTTAATATCAATAAAATTCATATAATAGATTATCGATCATCAATTCTTAAAGATGATACTAGGTCTGGCTAATAAAAATCCGTGATTAAAACCATCATTATTCCAAAATACTAATTAAATAGTTAAAGGCGGAAGATTTAGATTATTCTAAAATTTAATATTTTTTTAAAATATACCAAATTGCACCTGTATTCATTACTTAATAGATAAAAAAAAATGTTATTAAACTTCAATTTTTGGCACAAATGTATTAAATAATTAATGGTTAATTCTAATCTTAATGTAGTGAGAAATATTTAATATTCTGAATTCATAATAAAATAAAAAGAACTAAATCTAATTTTTAAAAAATGGCAATTTAAAATATTTTTTTCTTATGTCCTCGACATTGGTATATTAAATTTAAAAGATTAAATAAGTATATTTACATCGACATTTCAATTCTTTAACATTAATAACTTTGTTATTATGATTTCTTCTTATTAAAATAATATACCACCAAAATATTAAAACAGTATATAAAAATATATAAAATTACTAAATAAAAATAAATAAAGTATCGATGGCTCTAAAAAGAGCTTAATTTAATGATGAATATGTACCTAAAAAACCAATTATAATTGTGTTTAAAATTTTTAGTTGAAATTTTTCTTTATGAAATATGGATTCGCGTTTTTTGTTTGTTATATTAAAAATTTTTTGCGATAAAATTTTTTTAAAAAAATATGTAAAATTGCCGTCTAGATATATGCTGAAATATAAAGCTATTTAATTTAAAATATTTAGTAATTTTTTTATTTTCCCCTCTAGTAAGAGGGTTTGAATTAATTGATGAATGAAAGGAGGAAACGCAGGTTCCCAGATAAGGGATTTTCCGTTGGACCAGGGGGTTTAGGTTAAACCGTTTGGTCTGAGGCCGTTCTGTAATGAAAGGTTGGCTGGTTCGAGTATTTTGGGTGTTTTAGCCTTATTAAAAGCGTTATGGATGATTCTATTAATTGCTTTATGCCGGAAATGGCAACCTTGGCTGCGGGTGCAGTTTAAGCCGTGTCGGGTATTAGGTTGAGCGGGTAAGTTGCATTGGTGGCAAGTGTGTGGCTTTGTAAGCGAGCATCCAAGTCTAAATTCTCTTAATCAAGATTTTCTGTAAATGATGGCTATGAATGAACAAATATTTCTGTATGCATTTTAAATTTACACGAATGTTTTTTATTGAACAAAAAATTTTTCTCTTAAATTTGGTTTAAAGTATATTTGAATCAGGGAATTCTATAATAGTTTATAGGTTTTAGCAAAAAAAAATTGATTGACCTTTCTGACTAAAAAATATGTATCGACTAGCTATATTTTGAAGAGAATGGGTTGTAAGGTGTGGTAAATATATGTCACCATGTCCGGTCTAATACGGGTTTAGAAAGGACGGGTGGACTAGGGGACCCAATTACCCATAAAGACGGGTTGCCAATTTTTAAAATTAAAAGGGAGTACTTTTCTTGGAAATTTTTCTCTTTGAATAAAAAACAAAAGGGATAAATTATATTGTAATCTATTATTCTATATATTCCTTAAATCCAAGAAAAGTATGATTATAAAACAATTTCAAAAGAATTGAATCTAACATATGCTTTTCAATTATAGTTGATCGTATGATGTTTCGAAATCAGAAGCAATAGCTATGTTAGTAAGATATATTGAAAATGGTGAAATAACTAAGCTGGGTGAAGGATTAATAGATATATATTGTATGTAAACACGACTGGTTTTGTTATTTTGAAAAATATAATATGCATAGTTCCATTAATCTGCCCCTGGAATTCTTAATTGGACAACGCCATAATGGTGATTCAAACATGACTGGAAGGATCATTTAATCAATTAAATTTAATCAAAATCATTATTCAATTATACCAATCGAAAAGAACTAAAAAAGATTTTAGGGATCTTAAAATGAAATTTACGTGTATCTAAATCGTTATAAAAGATATAAGGCTCAAAGCATGTCATGATGTACTAATAAAATCGCATGTATTTGTACGCATCAAGAACCATTCGGTAATATTATCCTATTTGTTTAGTTATAAAATGTTTATTTAATATATTTATAGAAACTGGCTATCATCATATAAAGCTAGTAAAAATAGAAATTAATGGATTCTGAAGATCCTGTCACTTCTACCATGGCTGGTGATATTTTAGATTAGAAAAATTTATTTTGTTACTTTGTGTTTGGATAAAATATTCTTGATAACAAGCTTGGCTTGTAATAAATTGCAAATGTTGAAAGATATATTGTTTGCAACAAATTAAATTCAAATGGAAAAGGATTGCCTGATTAATTTGAGATGTATAATTTATTGTCTTGTATCTTTTTTAGATAATGACACTGAATTTTATATTTTTTCAAAGCACAAGATTTTATGAAAGGGGGATATTTACTATTTGATTTTAAAGTTCTAGATTTTAAATATTACAATCCAAAAAGGAAAGGTGTATATACTTTTATTATTAGATATATTTTATTTTGGCTTTAAAACTAATGTATTTTAGCTCTATTTGATTAGATAATAATGTAGTTTAATGAAAGATTTAATAATGAATTGATGAAAGGTAATGGCGGAAAAGATATTTGTTTAAGACGATATAGAGATATCAGTAAATTTTACCAATTGATCGATTAAGTTTTCTTTAGAAATGTCTAAGTTACGAAATTTACATGATGGCTAAAAAAAGGGATGTTATTACATGACCTGGAGGTTGAAGAAGCCAGATTATGAGAATTGTAAATTTATTTTGTTAAAATATTTATATTAATACATTGTTTAGCTTCTTCTTCTGATGATGATAAGCATTCTGAGACCTATGATTCAGATTATAAATACTATTCGTTTAATTTTAGTTGTCGTTTACTTTTCAATTTTTTTTGTTTTCCATAATTTATCAATTTTATATAAATATAAATTAAGTATTCCTACTACCTCATGTTGTGCCAAAATCATTAATAAAATTAAACTAATCAAGACAAACTTCGTATAACATGAATTAACCTTTTCTTCAGGGATCCAAACCGAACCTGAACCGAACCGTTAAACCGCTAAAAACCGGTATTTTTTATCGAACCTGAACCAAACCTAAACCGCTAAAAAAATTCTAGCCGAACCTGAACAGAACCACTATAATGTCTCTGAACCGGTTCGAGCCTCATGATTTTATGCTTATAAAACATGTAAATTATTCTTAGTGTATTGAAAAAATTTCAATTACATTCAAATTATTTTAAAGATTATCATCAATCACATTTGATTGATAAGTGTCCGTCATAATTTTTATAAACTTTAGTATATTATCATTTTACAACATTTTTTAAAATATTTTAAGCTTGTAAATTATAATGCTTAGAGAAAAATTAAATCCAAAATATTATTATAAATGACACATCAAATCTGATATCATATTGGCAGTGCCGGCTACCCAAGACAGTGTGGAAAGATGCTTTTCAACAATTAAATTTATACTATCACCTCATAGTGTAATTTGAGTTAGACGAATTTTGAAAATATATTAATTGTGCGGCTTAATAAAAAAATTTAAGTAAAAAAAAGTAAAATATTGTTCATATTAAAATTAATCATTGATATATATTCTTATTTTTATATTTATAAATTAAATATTATTTTATAATGTGCAATTAATAAAAATGAAGGTTTTATACTTGTGTTTTGTAAATTAATCATAAAATAAAAAAAATATTTTTCCTATACATAGTTCGAATGTAGGTTTGGATACAAAAATGTTTAAACCGGTTCTTAGAGGTTCGAACCGAACCGATATTTTAATTTTTTGCGAACCGAACCTGAACCTTGAACCGTTATTTTTATTCGAACCTGAACCCGAACCAAATCAATATTCGTTTCGGTTTGGATCCCTGCTTTTCTTAAACCATTTTATCAATGGAACTAAATTTATTTAATCAATTAAATATTGACAAAATTATAAATTCTTTAGTTATCTCTTCCCACTTAATTTGTCTAAATTATTAATTCAAAAAATTACTTTTAAAGTATATATATTTCTACATTTATATCTATATTTTTTATATATTAAAGATTGATGCATTAGAAATTATTTTTAAAATGTATAATTGAGGTAGGTAGTCAAAAATAATTAGATACTTTTGTTGGAGGGGTATTTATTTCGGGTGGAGGGTATTCTGCTTCCATAGCTCAGAAATTTTAGGGAACATTGAGGGAACCCGTTTTTATCGTTTATTTACATATCGTTAATCCATGACTATAATCTAATAAGTACTATAAAGGCCACAAAGTTAATTTTTCCGTGTTTACATCCAAAATCATAATTTAAACCCTATTCGATCCACCGTTTTACCAAGCATCAAAAGTCAAATACTATAATTAACCATTAAGAAAAATCAGCAAGAGGATAAAAGGTCCAAGAGCCATCTCTGTTGAGGATTAGAGGACGGTGATTAGAAAATATATTTAGACGATAATAAAAAAAATACAAATATTTTATTTTATATTTTTAATTCAAAAAACTACCAAAAATAATTTTTAAAGGTATTCTTTTGTAATTTTCATGCTTGCAAATTTGTTGAAAATGAAATTACATATTTGGAAAAACTGCTCAGAAATTTTTTCAAACTCTGATTTTAATACATTTTATAAATTCTTTTATATATAAAAAACAAAGAAAAATATTTAATTTGCATCTATATATAAAAAATATATAACTGGTTGTTTTAAAATAGATTGTAAACTTATAAATTCATTATCTATATTATTTTTTTTAAAAAAATTTATTTTACAAATCTTAACTTGGCCTTAGAGGTGTCATATAAAAAAATGAAAATTTGAATTTGAATGATTACATTTTGTAACAAGAAGTCAAATGTGACTTATATAAAAAAAAAGGTAAGAAGTGCGAAAAAAATATATTTGGGGTTTTTTAGCTTTGCTAAAAACACTGGTAGATTAACATGGTTCTGAATTTGGTAAACTCCTACATGTTGTGTACGCGTCATCGGTTCTTAATTAACAATTAAATATAAAATTAAAACATTGTTGGTCAATATGTATTTTTTATCTTTCTTGATTCGGCTGATATAAATATATTCGTAATTTTGCCGATGGGGATGAAAAGACACAAATAAGGGATTATGATTAATCCGCCAGAGGTTTCAGACTGTTCTCTCATTGGTCGGCCCCTTAAACATTAATATTTGCGCAGGGATAACAAATGATTGGTAAATAAATTAAAAATTTATAATTTTGTCATCAATGGTGATTTTTTAAAATGGTTATTTAAATCAAAAATATCGATTTTATTTTATAAATCACGATTTTTGCTAACATTAAAAGATATTTTGGAATAAATTTTAATTATAATTTATAAGCTTTAAAAAATTTTCTTAAATTATTTTAAATCTTTTTCTTACCATTTATATTATATAATTTCTTTGAAAATTAAAAACGAATCATTTTTTCTTATTAATTTTTATGGATATTTTCCAATTAATTTATTTTTGATTAAGAAAATATAAAATGAATTCAATATTATCACCATATGTTATGTACATTTTCCCCAAAATTACTCTAATCTGAACCCAGACCTATAACCTGCGCTTTGCCTGGATCAAATCCATTTTTTTTAAAAAATTCGGATACAATTTTCTGATTATCATGCTCTATTCCATTTTAAGAATTAAAAATCTAAAATTTCACCTTTTCTGATCATAATTGGGGTTGAATGAAACACTCCTTTCATCATATGATAAGTTAGGTATGAATAAAGCGATCCCATAAATTTTATGATATAAATGTGGCAATCAGTTTTCGATAAAATTAATCTTGCAAAGCAAGCCAAAAATAATTCATTATCTGATAAATATTGTCCATAATATCTAAAATCTATGCGGCGATAGAAAAATTAAATAAAATTTTAATATATAATATATTTAACAATTTTATTAAATTATAATAATCATGTATATTCGACTAATAAGTTGTATTCGAATATACATGTTTCTAATAATTTTATCGAATATGAATTATTCAAAATAAATACTTTTTTTATAATATCTAATCATTTTTGATAACTATAATATAATGGGTGATATGATTAACAAGGCAAATATAAACCTGCTCGTGAAAGGCTTTTCTTAGTTATAATGAACTAATTTTACATGTCTGACAATGATAAAAACTTTTTACCTTAAAAATTGGTTTAGCATTATAATTTCGCTAATAACCTGACAGCACGTCCTTTATTATCAGGTTATTATAATAATTTTCTATTTAAAATATAATATGCAATAAAAAATATTGGTCATATAGTAATTATTTTTATTCTCACATTTGCAAAAAATTCAAAAATCTTCAAAGATCCTTGTTCTTTTGATGATTAAAAGATGTGAAGATTTTTCTTACGAAAAGATCTGGATTTTTTTTTGATCCTCAAAGATTTTTTTGCTCAAAATTTTGTTAAACCCTGACGAATAGGCCTAATTTGAAGTAACGCCAAATAGTGATGCAAATTGGCTCCATTTGAGCCGATTTTTAAAAAATGGCTAACTCAATATTTTACCAGGAAAATATATCTCAAGATTTGGCTAATAGATGTTCAAACCTTTGTGCCAATGGGCAAAATAAGTACAGCGTTTTTTAAAATCAGTTCAAATGGAACGATTCATTCCTAACCCCAAGGATTATTATAAAACACCTCAATGAGTGCTTACAAGTCAAGGCACATTATATTTTTCTATCTAGAACATAAAACTGAAAATCAAGAGCAAGCGAAAAATATCGGCTTGAACTTAGAAAAGAAGCCAAAAAATAAACCAATTAAGCCACTTTAAAATGGACGCGAGTTATTAAACACTTAAGTGTATTTATTTATTTTTGATAGAAATACATTAAATTTATATTAAGATTCCTATGTAATTTCTAGTTATTTACGTAATTTCTAATTATAAATATACCGACAAGGAAAATAAAATTTTCTTATGCAGCACTACCGCCTATTCAAATTTCAGTAGGGACGCATCGATTGACGATAATTTTACAATTGGCATCATAAAAATGTTATAAAAAAAAAATCTGGCTGAAACCCAGCATGATAGCGCACATGTCTAATCATTTTACACAGAAATATTTTTGGCATATAATAGTATCCTTCAAGTTATAATTGTAGATGATTAAATCAATGCAGTCTGGTTTGCAATCCAAAATTCGAATAAATACACCACATGATTCTGCTAGGGTTTGGTTTACGAATAATTATAATCATTGGACGGCATTGATATTTAATGTACTTTTCAAAAATACTCAACACCATAAATTTTCATTATATACAAAATAAAATCGATTTAGCTAAATGGTAGGGGTATCTCAGAAGGCACAGACTTTAAGATGCTAAAGTTAAGAGATTGAGCCCAAGTCTTATAAAAAAAATCAGGGGTCATTTATCTGAACAAACTTAATAGATCTGAAGTTCACCCATACATCTGCTGAAAGGGCTACGACCTAGGGGTCCGCAAGGTCAACTTTCCGAGGCCAATTATTTTAGATCTCGAATTTGAACATGGCCCGACTTTTTATGCAATAAGTTAAATATGTTTCATACTCAAGATATTTAAATGATTCTGGATTTTTACACTATGCATTGAATTTAAATTCAGTAATAACTTTGATAAAATTATTAGTTTATATTTTATTCTATTAATTTCAAATAACAAAATATTTTCCCCCTCCTAAATTTTTTAAAACTTTTCTTATTTTTCAATTCTTTTCTATAATTTTGATATTCAATCAAGTAAAAAGGGAATAAAAAGGAAATGTAATATTAATATTTTTAGGGGTGCAGAGCCTATATTTTATTAATGATCACTGGTTTGGCTCTTTATATTTTACTAAAATGAGCTTATTTTTATTTTAATAAAATATGAATTATATTTAGTAGGTTTATATATGTTTGATGTGATCATTAACCTTGAGAACATATACTAGCCTTGAAAATAATTAATGAAACATAAAATATTTTTTATAATAAATTTATTCACATGATTAATATTATATATTTAAATTTAGTCCAAGAAGCTTTATAAATGATTGATAACTAATTAATAAGAGATTTTTTGAAATTTTTATTTCAAAAACATGACAGTTGCTATTTTTTTAAAAAAAGAAATAATTATATAAGAAAAATAGACTTAATATTAGACCTGATATCTTTAAATAAAAACTCAAGAATATTAAAGAATAAAAGAGTAGCAGAATGGAGAAGATATATAAGTAGTTACAAATGGAAATATTAATTGAAATGTATTATTGAATCAGAATAATAATAGTAAGTTATAACTTTAAAAAACAAATCCTTATGTTGTGAGTCAATTCACAGATTCATTTACCTAGTTATTTGAAAAGGTACTTTCCAAGTGTACAAAGTAAAGCAAGAAATGAACAAATGAGTAAGAAGATCCATGAGTGTTATATTCAGCAATTTATAAAAACAATTTTTTCCTCCCTCCTCATATATTATTTTTAATTTTTGAGCATTCATTACTCTTATATTTAATTGTTTTTCTATTAGACAATAAAAAATATCTGTATAGGATATTAACCTTTATTCTAGAAAAACTTAACATAACAATGAGAGCATTCTATTTTTTTCAAATTTATTGAGCGCTTAGACAAAATAGGCAAATATTTAGCATTAAAATAATCATATACATTTTATAAAGGACTATTCTATTCAATCAAATAATATCATATTAAAAAAAAATTGCAATGCTATACATAGATTTCATTTTTTATTATTTTTTGAAATAACTCTAATTATACAATTTATTTTATAAAAAAAAATTTGTCATAAAAATGTCTAAATAAAATACTGGTGCAATATATAATTTAAAATTAGGGAGATTGGAGTGCATTTTTAAAAGAAAAAATTTGTTAATTAATAATATTGAAAAAAATAATTTCTATCCTAGTATTAAAACTAAAATATAATTTCATCAAAATGATCTTAAAAAAATCAGTTATATGATTTGCTTTATAAAACAATAAAATCTGTAAAAAATAATTTTTGATTTTAGAGAAGAAGTTATTGGAAATATGAGCAAAACTGTCTATAAATATAAATACATTTGCATTATTAAGTTTATAGTTTATATAATGAAAATTTTAGCGAGTATTTGATATTATGCAAATCACTTGGTTAATATGACTATATGATTACTATAAAATAATGTGACTAATTAGATTAAAATAGCACTATTTTTAATTACACAAAAAAATACAATAAAACAAAATAATCAAGCTCTTGCAAATGTACAATTACCTAAATAGGGGAGAACAACATTAAATATCTTCCATGTCTCTGCAAAATTTGAATTTTTACCATTTTCTTTAACAATTACAGCTATACCTTCAAGACTATACTCTGATTCTCTCAAGGGAAAATCCAATATAGGCCTACTAAAGGTTATAGTTGAGTCAAATTTAACATATACATATTTTTCAATTTTAAAAGATTTGCAATTTCCTTTAGCAGTTATAGGTATAACCATAGTTTTTATTTCATTAAATTCTATAGGATAAATATTTGTTATTGATGCATGTCCTACTGGATTATGATGTGCAATAATATCTCTTTCATCCAGTAAATTAGATGGTATATTCAATCCTCTAAACTGAGAATTTAAATCAGGGTCATAAAAGGGTCTAGCATTCTCTATATTTTTATCATTGTAACAATCAATCAATGTCGATTTTGTAAGTGATGAATGAATAACATAGTTTTGACCTATATTGATGGTATCCAATGATAAAGCAAAACCATATGGCTGATTGCTATCACTCCAAAAATAATTTTTATTATTATTTAAAGTAGCACCTTGAAATGTCAATCTTTTTGCATAACCACTTCCTAGGCTTAATAAATATCGAGCTTTCCCATTAAATAGGTATAATCCACCAGTTTGGTTGTTATCATCTTCCTTTATGTATCTAACTTTGTACTTAAAACCAGGTAAAACTTTGGGATCAATATAAACGCCTAAAATTATCAATGAATAGTTTTTATTCTAGATTGATAAATAGTAGAATTATCATTTTAAGAAATATGTAAAATGTGTTTGTAATTTAAATAAAATAATCACAAACATTTAATCAAGTTTTAAAAATATTACCTATAACAGGAAGTTCATTGGATAAAATATTTTTTATGTGATATTTAATAGGCAAATCGCCAATCTCATTTCCATATAAGTCCTTCTCAATAAAATTATAGATTGTGATGTCACCATAGTTGTTGGTCAAATTATTTTTGTTGTTTAATTTATATGTATTAGATGTAAATTTAATATTCTTACAACTTTTAGGAACAATCGAGTTATTAAAATTTTTATGCCTAAAATTATAAGAATCCATATCTTTTTTAAAAAATGGCGAATTTGTCGTATGCTAGAAATACGTGATACGTGATATAGAACGTTTTCGCTCTCTAGTTATGGATACAACAGAGCTACGTTAGGTTTTCCTCATAATCCATCTGACTGGACAAATTAAAAAAGGGATAAAAATGAGGAGCTCTTCACACGTTTGTGGGCAAGCCGCACGTACTTGTACGCGTAATAGTCCAAGGACTATTACTTAAACGTCTATGGGCTAATGAGGAAAGGACAAAATAAGCACAGCCCACACCCATAAGATGCTTATATACATAATAGATTTTAAAGGCAAAGGGGGACCTAACTTTAAGATGAGAAAATTGATAGCAAATAATAGATGAAAGGAAAGTTCGATACAGAATAAGGAGAGAGAAAAGGGAGCAAAAGTAAAATAAAGAAGATAAAACAAAAGTAAAAATAACCTGTGTCAGGGAGGAGTTTATGAGAGATTCAAATAATTTGATTTGATCTTCAACAGTTTATTTATTGATTTCTTATCTTTATTCAACCTTAAAAACTGATTCGTGTTGAGGTTTAAATCCATGATATCCTTCACTGCCCTATAAAACCATAAAGTTTTATATTTCCCATAGACTCGTTGAATGAGTATAACCAATTTATTGCCTCCAGGACCAGGCTATTATTTGTGTGATTCCGCAGAATGTGTGCAAAAAAGGTAAGACATTTCTTTTTCAAAGTCACTTGCACTAGAGTGTGACGTGACCTCCGCCAAAGGTTAACATTAGAAATAATGTTGGGGTAAAAAATGCCATTTATTATCCTAAGACATTTGTTGACGAACACCTGTAATCTCCTGATCTCTGTTTTCGTAATCTCCCATATATCACTGCCGTAAAGGAGAATTGGGATGATGGTGGAATTTAAAATACGTAGCCTAGTGTAAACCTATATCTCCCTGGATTTCCACAATTTGAAATATTTGTAAAAAGCAGCCCTTGCGTTATGAATTCTAATTTTTAGTTCTTCGTGACAGCTACCCCTATTATATGTTTACCCCAAGATATTTATAGGAGGACACCACCTTGACCAACTTTCTCCCCAACCATCCAATCAACCAATGGGGGCGCATAAAATGATGGCATAATTACCGTCTTATCGAAGTTTATATCCAATCCAACCTTTAAGCTGAAGGAATTAAGTATCAAGTCTAAATTGTGGGCCTCCTCCAAGCTCTTGGCGATCATAACTAAGTCATCTGCATAACAAATCACCCTATTTTCCAAAAACCATGGCTCATTAAGTCCAAGTTCCAGAAGATTTGCAGCTCCCAGCGAATCAATAATTATTTTAAACTATATTGAACAACAGCGGGGAGACGACACACCCTTGTTTTACTCCTTTTTTAGTTCAAAAGGGGGGAGAAACTTTATTAATAATTTTAAACGAGGCGAAGAGATTACTGTAATGTGTCTTTAGAATCCTAATGATGTTTCCGTCAATGCCGCATCCTTCTAGGATTGCCCACAAAGAATCATGAATAACACTGTCAAAAGCGCGCTTAAAATCGACGAAGATAAAGTAGAATGGTAATTTATATTTGTCACACTTCTGTATTAATATCTTTAATGCCAATATAGGTTCATTGATATTCCTATTTGGGCGGTAGGCACAGATGTACTTGGACAGAAGATTAGGCTTGGTCGAAAGAATGCGGTTTTTTAGAAGAATCATGAAAACCTTAGACACGATGGATGTGAGAGCAATAGCTCTGTAATCCTTAAATTTAACAGGATTTGGGGTTTTGGGGAAGCTATAAAAAATTGTCATATTCCAGTCAGCTGGCATCTTCTCCGTAACCCAAATTTTATTGAACTACCCCAGCAAGAGCTGAGAAACTTCTGAGGGGGCAGCTTTCAGATGTTCTCTTAAGATGTTATCTGGACCTGGGGATTTATTGTTCCTAAGTTTTTTAATGGCCTTAGTTATTTCCACCACAGAAAAGTTAGCATCAGATGATACTGCGCTACGGCTAGAGGATGGAAATACGACTGGTCTCCTTGAATCAAAGGTTTCCATGTAATGGTCCAACCATAGAGCCATCTGTTCGTCCGGGTCGGTAATCAATTTATTATTGTCCAATCTGATTGATGGGAGAGGCTTGAATACTCTTGCACTACAGAAAAGCTTGAGCTTTTTATAGGCATCAAAAGTTCTGTTTTCTCTCATGTCTCTCTCAATCTCGAAAGCTTTCTTTGCTATGTAGATCCTTCTGTCCCTCCTAAGGAGTCTATGGATTGTCGTCCAAAGGGCACCATCACGTCTCTCAAGCGACCTAAGTTCAGCTATCAAAAGAACTGTGTCATCAGATAATCATTCATGACTCGGGGGAGAACCGTTGATGTTAGGAAGGTCATTACAGGCTCCAAAAAGATTACTCTTAAAGGAGGACCAACATGCCTCCGTAGAAACAGACTCCGATGTAATTTCACGTGCTGTCATCCTGTCTCTTAAGTTTTGGCCTAATAGCAGTTTACCTCAGGTCGTTGTAAATTTTTAGCATTAGTTGTCCAAGGAGAAAATCTGGGCTGATTAAATGTAGTATTAGTTGTCCAGGGAGAAAATCTGGGCTGATTAGATGTTGGGAGGCGTTGGGAGTTTCCCCATAAATTCTTTATGAGGAGGTTGGCTTTGATTAACTTTTGATCTGAAATATTTATATACCGCAATGCTTTTACATCAGTAAACCAACTATGAATGTTGGAAATGAAAAAGTCGATTTGAGAAGTAATATTGTTCCTCCTATAAGTTAAAGTATTACTTTCATTATGAAAGAAGAAAGTATTCTCGATTTTGAGGGAAAAACTCCTGCACAACTCCAAAAGCTTTCTACTATCTTGGCGATTTTGTTGGGGAATGGCCGCATTCCCAATTACTCCATCAAGTATGTAAAACTCCTCCTTCTCAATCCTGATATTCAAGTCTCCCAAAATTATCCAGTTGCGACTCTTAGGATGAGAGCATACAATGTTTTCAAGAAAGATGGTCTAAAAAGGAGAGCCTCTCACCTCTATTGAAAGGGGCATAAACGTTAATTAGGATCGTTCGTTTAAAATAGATATTTAAATACAACAGGCAACACCTTTCGGAAATGGGGACAAATTTGTCAACAAATTTATGCACTCTCTTACTAATTAGGAAGGCAACTCCTGACCAACCATTTAAGGTAGTGCCCGAACTATAAAGTATAAATTTATTAAAGTTGGCCATATTGTTGTCTTTAGAATGGGTCTCTTGTATCGCTATTATATCTGTTTTCTCCTCCTATTAGCCTAAGGAGAACCGTTAACTTGTTATTTAAGCCATTTATATTAAGCGAAGATAAAAGTAAGTTTCCCTTTAAACCTATCGGATGCTGTCAAAAATTCAAAAACAGATAATAGCAATTTATTTTTACTCTGATATTTAAAAATGCTATATTTAGTATGTTATAAAAGACTAACAAGTTGAAAGAGAGGAGAATCACCTAAAAAAACATAAAAGTGAAAAGTAAATAGAGCGAAAAGAAAAGATAAAGAAAACCTTAATTAAAAAATAAAATATGAAACTGCATAGAGAAAAAGCCTAGATAAAAATAAAATATGAACTGCATAGAGAAAAAAAACCTAGTCGACATAAATATTGTAATAAGAAAAGATGTAAAATATATGTGGAAGATGTAAAAAAATCATACAAAATAAAAGAATGTAAGAAGAAGACTATAGGAAAAGGAATAATTAATAAGAAAGTAAGGAGAAAAACTATGAAAGGAAAAATATTAATAAAAAGAAAAAAACTATGAAAGAAATAAATATTAGTAAAAAAATAAATAAGTTAAAACAAAAGAAAAAGGAAAAGTATACAGAAGGATGATAACCTAATCCCTAAGAGATACTAAGCTCTATAAAGCTGGATAGGATAGTTCAGCATATAGGATTCCGAGTTTTCCTAACAAAACTTACTGAAAAATTTGAGAAACGGTTAAAATTCGCTAAAATCTATCATATAAATCCTGTCACCTGTGTGTAATATGATGTTTAAGTGTCAATATTTGGCTGTATTATTATTTCTTTATTGAAATAATATATCTAGCATGTGCTATAGTAAAATTAAGGAAGAATAATATATTATTTATTTTAAATGATACTAGTTTATATATGAAAATAAAATATATATACATATAGTGATAAGTATAATTCTATGTTTAAGAAATAGAAATGAGTAAAAGAAGAGAAAGTAGCAATTAGGAAAGAAAAAAAGGTAATGGATATAGAATATAATTGATAGGAGATAAACTTAGATAGTAGTTATATTATGTGTTTTCAGATGAAATTATAATTTAGAAAAGCAGGTTATTAATAAAAGCATAAAAGGCGGATATGCCAGGCGGGTATGTCAGGAATTCAAATAGGTATAATAAACAGACCTGTCCATAATACTAGTTAAAGGTTAGTCAAAAATATTTTAGCTCTCTACCATAATATAAAAATTAAAATGCTTACAAATTGTATTTGCAATTTTTTTTTTCTCAATGGATGGAAAAGTTATCTAATTCTATAATCTACAAACCTCATAAGTCATTAGAGTATATAAATTTGTTATGTTAGATAAATATGACAATTTTTGCTTTCTTTCAAGTCATGGAGAGAGTACATTTTTAAGAGGCTAAAATCTAAGTTCTAATCAATGCAATGCTGTAGTTAAATAATCGAAAATCTAGATTTCATATACTAATTTCTATTTTCTATTAATTTAAATCAGAGCAAAGGATAAAAAAAATTATTTGATTGAAATTGAATATATTTAAGGACAACACTTTCAATTCTAATTAAAGACCCCTTTTTATAATTACCTAAAATATTTTTTAGATCTCAATTAATTTATTAATTACCTATTTAGTTATTTTATTTCATTATTATTGTTCTAGCTTGCAAAAGCATTTAGCAAAAACGTGATTTCAAGCGGAATCTATATAGTTCTTTTTAATTTTTTGTTTTTTAGATAAATTTTTAGGAACTTTCTCGCAAATTTAT